TGGGGACGGGGCAGGCTGGGGACAGGGCAGGGGATGGGGACAGGGCAGGTGGGGGACGGGGCAGGTTGGGGCTGGGCCAGGCCGGGGTGTCCCTGCTGCCTGGGGACTGAGGCCCTGCTCCGTGTGTGAAACGCAGCGGTGGTCGCAGCAGGTGTGGGTTTGTGCCCGCACTCCCGACTCCGCCACACAGGCTTTGTGAAGCCCTCGCGGGCCACGCCCTGGCCTCCCCCCCCACGAGGCCGATTCCCATGGCAGCCACCCTGGGGCGCGGGCGTGGGTCTGAATTGGGCTGAGGATGGCACTGGAGCTGTGGGCCTCTGCGGACGGGACCGGGGGGTGGTGACTGGATGCCAGGACAGGGGTGAGGGGGACCAGGGTGAGGGGGGCCGGGGTGAGGGGTCAGGACAGGGGTGAGGGGTCAGGACAGGGGTGAGGGGGGCCGGGGTGCTCCGGTCTGAGGGCCGGGCAGGCGGCCTCCGGTCAGGTTGTTACTGGCTCTGAGTGGTGTTAAGGTCTCCAGGGCCTTACTCTCCTCCCCTTTAAGAGGGGGAATGGTAGTATGGTAAAACCCAGGCAGGGAGAAAACTCAGCAACTTCTAGGCACCGTCCCCTCCTCCCCTCCTCCCCTCCTTCCCTCTGGGGTGCACAGGGCCAGCGTGGAGCTCTTCCTTACCGGGAGCAGCGGGAGCCGGTCAGCACAGGGGCTGGGGGCCTCCAGGCAGGGCTTCCAGGCAGCACATTCCCTTCCCGGGTTCTCTTGGAGGGTGCCACAGCCGCTCTGAGGGCGGGAAGCCGGTGGGGCTGACCCAGGGGCAGGGGGGGTGGAGCCCCGCAGCTCCTCCCTGGGTGGGGCCGGCAAGCCCAGGTGCCCTGGGAATCCCGACTGGGGGGACGGTGAGGGGGAAGTCCCACCCCCATGGGGGGCCAGTGAGGAAGCCCCACCCCCATGGGGGGCCAGTGAGGGGGAAGTCCCACCCCCATGGGGGGCCAGTGAGGGGGAAGCCCCACCCCCATGGGAGGGGGCCAGTGAGGAAGCCCCACCCCCATGGGGGGCCAGTGAGGAAGCCCCACCCCCATGGGGGGCCAGTGAGGAAGCCCCACCCCCATGGGGGTCCAGCGAGGGGAGCCCCACCCTCCATGCCAGGTTGCACCCTTGGAGGATCAGCCCGGGCTGGCACCCAGGATGGCCTCCCAGCCAGAAACCAAGAGCATGCTCACTTCTCAAACACGGATCCTGGTCGTGCGTCCTCAGGACCAGCAGAAAGATGGCAAGAGACCAGCTTTCCAGACTGGCAATTTCAGAGTGAGCTGCAGAGTCAGGAAGGGAGGGGCAGAGCGGCTCTGTGGGGCGACCCCGGGAGGGTCACCCGCACCCAGCACGCTGCTCCTTCCTGCGCCCCCTGTGCCCCCCTGCGGCCCCCGGTGTCCAGGCCCCCCAGAGAATCCCCACCAACCCCCAGCCCACCCCCACTGCGGCCAGCGGGGCCTCTGGCGGAGGAGCTGCGGTTATTTCCCCCTCACCCCTTGCGACCAGTGGCCCCGAAATTCACTCTTGGCTCCAGTCTGAGGGGCAGAATTCCCTGGAGCTCTGGCCTGCACCCTGAGAGCCAGGGAGGCCCACAGGCTGAGGGCCAGGGGAGGGGTCAGGCTGTGGCCCAAGGCCCAGAGGCCCCTGCCCTGAGCACGCCCCCAGGAGAACTGGGGAGTGGGAAGCCGGAGACGGGCGGGAGGAGCCGGCGTCTGGCTCTCCGTCAGAGCCCCGCAGCCCCAGCATTGTGCTGGCTGTCCGGGAGTGGACGCTGGCAGAGGACATCTCCTAGGTGTGTGAGCCGCGAGACCCGGCCTTCACCTGGGGACTCTCGGTGAAAGTTCTCCTACAAGACAAAGGCTCAGGGTAACAAAGGCAGCTCAGAGCTGGGGCGGCCGCTGGGCAGAGACAAGGGGTGTGGCCGCTCACGGCACTGGTCGGGTGCTGGATGCTTCTGGGTCTTTCTTGGCCCTTCGGCAGTGTCACTGCAGAAGGCAGCTGGGTCGGGACGCGGCCAGGGCGTCGGCATGGCGTTCCCGGCTGTGTGGGTGCTCCATGGCTGATTCTTCTCCCCCAGTCACATCTTCACCTGCTCGCACTTAGGAATCCAACCTTGTATTTTCCCCTTTACCTCTACGGGGCGTTTCTCTGTGGGTATTTAGAGATGTGCG